TCATTTTATTATAATTATTGTTTATAATAATATTCCCTCCTCATACAGAATCTGCATTTAATGAATTTACTACTCAACTGGTCTTTATTATTTTTGGTGACTGCTGAATTTGTAGAATGGCTTTAGGTTTAGTATATAATTGAAGATGATAGGAAATGAAGGCTAACAACTACCACCCACCCTGGGGACCTGGAAAAAAAAAAGAAGTAAATAGTAAAAAAAAAAAAAAAAAATCCCCAAGGCAGAACACTGTATTTGAAAAGCCTCTTTCATTCCTTAACTATTTGATCCTTTATGGCTACCATAAAGGATTGTCAATTGTAATTTCAGTAATATTCAACAAAATATCTGCCCTGTCAGAAAACCAGGTCCAAATTGAGTCATGTAGTTAGCTTGAAAGTGATAGTAACTGAGGTGACTCATTTACATATGAAGCTGCATAGACTATGAATAATTACGGCTATTACTCATGAGGCAGTTGAGTGCATACTACTTCCTGTGAGTCAATAACAATATACTACAATGATATTGCCGATACCTAAAGAACCAAATGAACATTTACCACTGGATAATTATGAATACTAGCAGCTAAAGTTAGAACTAAAAAGCTGAAGGATTTAAGATCAGTTGGAGGAGAAAACCAAATAACTGATCTCTTCTTGGCAACAGCTGGTTGGGAGGCCATTATAAAATTATCAGCAATTGCACGCTCAAGAAAGGGGGAGGAAATGATGTTTGACAATGTAATTATCAAATATGTTTTTCATTTAGAACAGGCCACTAAATATTGTGAATTCAAGAAACTAGGTTCAGAAAACCAATCAATCAAAGAGAATTTGATCCAAATGAAATTGATAAATGGCCTTCAAAATGAGGAGCATCAGCAAATGACTAATGCATTTATAACTGGGAAATTTGTCACTAGAACAGTGTGTTGAATTTGTTCAGCAACAAAAATTAATTGGAAAATTTAGTAGAACAAAAGTTATAGATCTGGTACAGGAAATGAACACATACATGAGAAAGAAAAAAGGTAAAATAATAATGTGTACCTTTTTGTGGATATGAACATCAAAAACAAAAATGTCAGGCATATAAAAAAAAAATGTGAAATTTTTTTCAAAAATGAATCATTTAAAACGCATGTGTAAATCCAAAATTACAACAAGTGGCATTTGAAAATTTAAAAGCTGTTCTGGCAAAGAAGCCAGTAGTCAAAATATTTGACCCTAGAAAGGAAATAATAGTAATAACTGATGCAATTGAACGCTCAATTTCAGAAATATTAGATCAGGATGGTCATCCTATTGTGTGTCTTTCAAGAAAATTGTCAAAAGCTGAATTGAACTATTCGAATATTGAGAAAGAAGTATTGGCCATAATATGGATGACAAGTAGAGCTTGTCAGCTTTTGACTGGAAAGAAATTCCTACTAAGGTCCAACTATAGACCTTTAGAATTCATATTTAATCCTAGGAAGGAACGTTCTAAAATAACGTCTTCTAGAATTCTAAGATGGGCCTTAATGTTAATGGCGTTGGACTTTGATATTGAGTACATGAAAGGCAATACCATTCCACATGTAGGCACTTTGCCGAGATTGAGCTTCATTACTTCTGAAAGTGAGAAAGAGAAGGAAAAATTTAAATATAATTTCTTACACTGGGTTGAAATTGATGTTTTGTCGATAGACAAATTAGCTGAGGATATGAAGCGAGACCCCATATTGAACAGTTTAGTATAAAAAATAAGTGAAATAATTGCTCATGGACAGAAAATTATTTTAAAGGGGTTAAACAAAAGTTAAACATAGAAAAGCGTGTAATTTGTAATGGAGATTTAGTGGCTCTGCCAGCAACACAAAGGAGTGAAAGTATAAAAAGCATACATGACAATATTCCTTGCAGAATAATGTCTACGCAAAAGAAATTAAGGCTAGAGACATTATGGCCAGGCTATTCTACAGATGTAGAATAATATGTAAAAAAAAACAGTGTAAAATATGCAATGAAAGAAGAAAATTCAGACAGACAAAAATGCATACATGGCCTAAAGAGTGCCAACCTTGGATCATCTTAATGAAGTAGGATTATTACTAATACTGGTAGATTCATATTCAGGCTGGCCAGAAGTTATACAGGTTTACAACAAAAGAAGTTCAACCATGAAACAAGTGTTAAGGAAACATATTTGCAAGAAATGGAATTCTGAAAATCCTAGTACCACATGCTGGAAGATCAAAAAGCCCATCCACTCTCATGGGTAGACATATTTGACCATGTCCTATGCTACCAATGAAAAACTATTGTATAAAAAGAATAGTGAATCTAATTTACAAGAGGCAAAATTCATAATGCAAAGTAGACAGAAAACTATGATAATAGAAAAAAATGGGAAATGGAATATTAGCAGATGTAGACCAATTTAGATTGCAACATGATAGCGATGAAGAAATATACAGTGAGCCTGAAATAATGAAAGCAGAAGTATCGAGGCAAGATGAAGTAGATGGTGAAATCATGAGTAATATAAACTCTGAAAATGAAGAATTGTTGGAGGAACACTCCTATGAAAAAGAAAAAGATCATGATTTTCCATATCTAGACAATCTCTCCCTCAGAGATTGTTTAGATATGGCAGATCATGATCTTAGTGAGGAGGCAAAAGCTCTTAGAAGTACCAGGAAAAATAAGGGGATAAAACCTCTTCAGTACAGGGAGGTGAGGTGACATACATGTTTTACATATGAAGTCACAAAGACTATAAATAGCTATGGCTATTACACAAGGCAGTTGAGTGCATACGACTTCCTGTGACTCTGTAATATTACACTACAGTAAGACATTAAACAGACTTACCATGTGGCATTTCACTATCAAATGGGCATCCATGCAGTGGAGTGTCAGCTTGTGTATGCTGCAGTAAAGTTCCTTCTAGTTGCCAAGTTATATTAAGGCCTTGCAAACCAACTGGATATATTTGCATAGAAATTGCACAAAAAGAAAAACCTTGGATAAAAAAATCTAATTCAGTTGCTTCTTGTATGATTTCCAGATTTACCTTTCTTTTTTTTTTTTTTTTTAAACCTCAATTCACCCCAACAAAAAAAGATTGATTTAAGATTTTTATTCCTGTGTTTTTAAAGCATTTTAATTTAAAGCCATCTTTGACCAACTAAATGTAATTTAAAAAGCTCAATCTTTAATTTCCATGAAAATCAAGTGGACCGTAAAATGATCTAATATTATATTCTTGAAACCTCTACTATTTTTAAACACTTGTGAGCAGTTGACGTCTTTTGGGTCTTCTTACTCTGGCAGTGAATCAATGGTTCAAGATGATACCTATAAAATCAATGATTGTTCTAGAAAATCTGGTGAGAGATTTCTCTGGCATAAGAGCATACAAATATGTCCCTGTCTTAAATGGTTTAATGTTAATGCAGGAAATCCTTATCTTTCATAGCAGAAATTGAATTAGCACAATTATGAATACAAAGAAAAAGAAAGTACAAGATATTTTAGATGAATTTCATACAAACGTTGGTTTTTTCTAAAACTTAATGCATTCAAGTTAAATACTGGATTGTATCAAAAGTATTATCATTTTTTCACAATTTCTTTAATGCTCTTCATAAAGTATATTTTGGTGATTCTAGCCCTTCTGGAACTCTTGGAGTCATGCTGGTCATGTTTTTCTTTATTTTGAATTTTAAAGCATTATAATTGACAAATGATTTTCTTTTCTTTTTTCTTGACTTTATTTCGAGGGATAAATTAATCATCCTTACAATATTTAAGCCAATTTTGGGTACTATGGTTATTGTTATATTTCCTTCCACTTCCTAATTCTGAAAGACCTAGATTAAAATGATGTCCCAAAATTTCTGGAATCTCGATATTTTTATCTACCATAGGAAGGAAAACTCCATCAGTACAGGAAAGAGCAATAATAGCTACTGGACTTGAGAAACCTACTTCCCTGACAAACTGATTTAAGAGAAGTGTCATTTACCAACACCACCTGTGACTTCTCAAATGGTTCTGCAAGCTCTACCTCTGCACAATCATTAACATCCACTGGAGTGACTTTGTCACCAATATTGAAGTCCTTGAAACAGCAGAGATCACCATCATTGAGGCTATGCTGCTGAAGTCCTAGGTATGCTTGGCTGGACATGTTACCAGGATGGGGAATCATTGTCTGCCTAAAATTTTATTGTGCGGTGAGCTCGCCACTGGATATCAAGGTAGAGGCACCAAAGAAGTGAATCAAAGATTGCCTGAAAAAAAATCCTTTGGTGCTTGTCACATCAACCATTGCCAATGGTCAACCCTAGCTGAGGACCGTGACGGCTGGCATCTTACCACCAACCATACTGTCTCCTCCTTTGAAAATACCTGCAAGGCCACTCTCAAGGACATGAGGGAGAAGAGGAAGTACTGTAACACTATATCATCAAGCCCAGGCCTGACTTTCGGCTGCAACTACTGTGACCATGCATGCGTATCCTGCATTAGTCTTATCAGTCACAAATGTGCCTGCAAGCAACATGTACAGACTCCTTCTTGATCTTCATTTTGTGAAGCCATGATGATTTACAAGAAAGTATTTAATAAATTTCAAACAATAGTATTATTGGCTGCTTGGTCAATAAATGCCAAATGTTTCCTTATAAAGAAACTGTTAATATTACCTTTACAACATATGAACAGTGTTGATAATAAATATGTAATTATATTAATAATGTACTCCAGTCATAGATAGTATTTTTCATGGTAAAAGAGACCACTTTCAGCCAATCTTTCAAATGGAAAAGATTTGCCTGCCTAGCAAATGTGCATACAAAATCCTGACTTTTATCTTGTTTCAAAAACTGTCACCTGTAAGAAAAACTTCTTTAGATAAAAGTCAGGTTTGTAAATATTTCATTCACTCTGATGTTAAAAGAAATATTTAATTCTCTCTTGCAATTTAATCTTTTAATTTTAATCTTTCAGTTGCTGTATGAAATGTGGGCTCGCCCTAAAATGTGGTACAAATATCAACCTTTGGATATTGTTAGGTAAAGTATTTTGAATAAATTTTTTACTTGTTGTTAGAAAAAATATTTCCTTAAGAATGGTAGAAGAATTTTGCTTGCTGTTTATCAATATAAAATATTGCAGTATGACCTAAACATATATTGCAAAAAAAAAAAAAAAATTAATTTGCCTTAATTGTAATTTTGGCCATAACTGATTATTTTTAATTTAAATCTCTTTTAATGCTTCTGCTACTGTTTATATATATATATATATATATATATAAATATAATGTGTGTGTAAAATTCAGATGTAACTAAAAATATATCTGTAAAATGACAATATGAATAAAGACAAAAGGAAAACTTAGCTGATCCATCCTCTCATGGGTTTTATCAAGGCAAATTTAAGGATTTTTATTTTTCAACAAGTATTTATACACAGAAGTAAAAATGTTAGTTTTTCAGAATTTTTCAATTTAAGAACATAAGTATACTTCAGGCTAACTGAAAAGTCCAGGTAAATTATGGAGAATACTAAGTGACGTAATTTAATGACTAATAAATGAAAGTGAGTAAACGCTGTTATTGATTTTTTTTAAATTTTTTTTTATTTTTTATAATAATTATTTATATTATTTTATTTTGCGATTAATTTATGTATTTTTATTTTTTTAAAATCATTTCATCACCATACAAAGCAATAAAGCCACTAAGACACAAAGGATTGTAAAAGAATAAGAAAAAAAGCGAAACATTATCAAGGAGTGGAACAATAGAAGAGTAATCAAGAAGTCAGTAGATAACTATGGACATTGAATTTAAATTTTTAAAGATCAAATTTGGCAGGAAAACAAGATGCAGGAAGAAAATTCCACAAGTGAGAAAAACTATTAGCATAGAATTTATGGTTACATCTTGCCAATGCAACTGCAAATTGATGAGACCTATCTTAAAGTTTAGGTGCCATAGTGCAGATTTCATCCGAACAATTACCATGAAAGTATTTATAGAAATGGCACAGGGAAGCTACATTACAGTGGTGGGAAAATGACTGAGGCCATGATACCAGGTCAGGATCAATAACATTGCAGATTCTTTGGATTTTATCAAGAATCTTTGAAATATATAGCAGGAGTACCAGACCATATGTTGCAGCAATATTCAAAGCATGGGCAAATAGTAGACTTATAAATATATAAGATAGTTTCATGAGAGAAAAATTGTCTAGCATGACACAGTGAAATAAGGTTTTGAATTTAACCATTTTTCTTTTAATTTTTAACATGTTAAAAATAAGGTTTTGAATTTAACCATTTTTTCTTTTAATTTTAACATGTTAAAAAATAAAAGAAAAATTTTCAAAAATTTAACCAATTTTTTCTTTTAATCTATCTTATATATTTAGTTATGTATGTTGGCTTTGGATAATGCTATTTCTTTTAGGAATGGAGATATTTGAAAAATCCAGGGTGCATATTTATATTTTGGTCAGATTCAATAAAAGCACTCTCAAGAATTTTCCATCCAAATGTTAATTTCTCTTTTAATAAATGTGGCATTCTTTAGATTGAAGTTGTGGTTGAACTTATTTCTATATATGACTAATGTAGGTACCTCCATTTTTGCATGATGGAAAAGGCCTTAAACCGCAAACTTGATGAAAACAAAGTTTTATCATCAAAATGTTTGTTATTATTAAAAGGAAAGACCATAGTAATCTTTGATTATTCTATTAAATTTTTGAATCCTTTCTAGCACGTTCAAAATTTTGGATAAAATTTTTTTTTTTTTTCGCATAGCAGTAGGCCAAAGATTAGTATGGGGAATTTAGCATCTATTTTGGGAATAAAAAAACATATTGTTTTGGAAATTCTTATGAAAAGAACATTAGTTGTCATCACATTGTTGAACATGTCAACACAGCTACTGTTGGATTAAACACACAACTACTGTCAGGTTAAAGAATGCATTTCTATGATATTTTAAACTTAAAGTAAATAATATTTGTTACAAATCACATTAATTATAATTTAAATCTGCTAATATTCTTCAAATAAAGTTTCAGAAAAGTATATTTTATTTTTGTAATATTTTCTTTAATAAACAGAATTACCTTGCAATTGTTTTAGCAAAAATAAAAAAAAATTCTTTCTAGTCAAGTTGAATTAATCAGATTTAATCTATTAGCTTAAAATTAAAATAAAAGCTTCAAGAAAGATTTTTCTTTTATAAATATTCATTTTAAACCCTAGTTATAGAGTTTTTTTGGGTTTTTTTGTTGAGGTACCTAGACTAATGTATTTGAAATGTTGTAGAATGTTAACATCTTGATTACTAGTGTTGGTAGTTCACAAGTGATGTAGTTTCTTTTATTTGGTAAAATTCTTTGTTTGTGATTCTGTAGTGCCAGTCCACAATTTTCAAAGAAGTCTGATCTTTGCCAAGACCCTCAGGACTTACTAGCTCAGAGCCTTTTTTCAACATTAATGTTAGAAAGCTGTTGTATACAGCTGATAGTTTTGATAATTCTGAATAGGTTTGGGGCATAAATGACATTCATATAAAAATTAGCAACAATTAAGGAAAAGCCCGTAAAAAGCCTTGGAAAAAGTATAGATCACTATCTAAAAGACGCAACAGCAATCCAAGAAACAAAAGACAAACTAGAAACTTGGTTAAAGAGAGTTGACAAATCCGGTTTGCCAGGCTGATTTAAAGCTTGGATTTATCAGCATGCCATTCTCCCTAAAATCTTATGGCCATTGTCTATTTACAAATTTACAACATCTCATATAGAACAATTAGAAAAAAGAATTAGCACGCGACTACGAAGATGGTTAGGTCTACCGAAGAGTTTGACCAGTGCTGCTCTATACAGCAACACCAATGCTCTGCAACTTCTTTTCAAAAGTCTAGTAGAGGAATTCAAAGTCACCAAAATTAGAGCAATACCGCAATATGAGTTATCCAAAGACCCAAAGGTGGCTGGAGCAGGCATTGACGTCTACTCAGGAAGAAAATGGAGAGCAGAGAACGAATTACATGTCGCTAAAGAAAGGCTCCGCGAAAAGGCCATATTAGGCGCTGTGGCTACTGGACAAGTGGGCTTAGGGTTTTTTCCTACCATTCGGGTGGACAGAGCCAAAGGTAAAGAAAAGAACCTTTTAATACAAGAAGTACGCAAGGGTGAGGAGGAGAAAAGGGGTGGCAAAAATGGTAGGACTAAGGCAACAAGATGCGTGGACCAATTGGGAATCCAAGGATTTATAGGAAAATCAAATGATCAGATATATGGAGTAATGATATCAATATAAAGTTCCTGATTCGGACTGTATACGATATCCTTCCCAGTCCTACCAACCTCCACCTATGGTATGAAACAGAATCGCCACTATGTCACTTGTGTTCACGTCCAGGAATTCTAAAGCATATTCTACGTAGCTGTAAGACAGCACTCACGGAATGTCAATATAGATGGAGACATAATGAAATCTTAAAGGATATAGCAAAGATAGTTAGTATGGACATCAGCACCAATACTTTAAACCTAGATAAAAGAGCCATAGTTTCATAGAGCTCATGAGAAACCCCCAAAAAAGGACAAGAACATAGCAAATACTCTGTCATTGGCAACAGACTGGGAATTAAGGGTCGACTTAGGAAAAAGACTAAAATTCCCTGACCCCATCGTGCAAACATTATTACACCCAGATTTAGTATTCTTCTCTAACAATATTAAGAAAGTAATAATGTGGGAACCGACAGTGCCTTGGGAAGAACATGCAGAAGAAGCCCACGAATGGAAGATGTTAAAATATGATGAACTAATAACTAGTTGTAAAAACAATGGATGGAAATCAAGCTGTTTGCCAATTGAGGTGGGTGTAAGGGGTTTTGCTGCGAGGTCCCTATGCAAAGCCCTAACTAATATTGGCATAGTAAGTGTGATAACAAATGAAAGGCGATTCAGACCATAACTAATATAGCAGAAAGGACAGCAAAGTGGTTATGGATTAAGCGTGATAGCTCTTGGACATCAATGTAACAAATAATTATCAAGCCGGGTAAATCTGTAAATATTATTAATATAATTGCAACATGGCAATATTATAAACATCTTTTTTTTATTATTATTATTTTTTTTTTTTTTCATGTTTAAATACACAAATTGAATTGTACAAGTACAGCCAAAGAATATATCATGTCAATTTGTAAATTGTGTTATTTGTAAATATGTTGTTTTTATGTTAAACCCATTTTATACGCAGTAATTTTAAGTTACTATTTACCTTTTAGCGATTTCGGTGCGACACATCTCGCAAGACTTTTTGTCCATTATTCTCATACATTTTTTTTTTTTTATTCTAATGTAAGACCTTTTGTCTATTATTCTCATTTTTTAATTTTATATTTATACGAACATTTCACATTTTGTATATTTTAAATCGGAATCATAACACGTATATAGTGTATTTATAGAGTTTTTTCTCTCGATCATCGCTATATATCATTTGTATATTATTTTTATTTTATTAGATTAATTGTCATCGGTTTTAAGCAATACATATATATAAATATAATGTGAAGCTTCGTTAATACTTGATATATTCCAAGAGCATTTCGTAGTCCATTGTATTTAACGACTTCAAATTTGTAAATAGTTTAAATCAATGTTATAGTGCTTATTGTACTTTTATTTTATTTTTTAATTTCATTTTTGTATGTACAGGAATATATATATATATATATATATATATATATACACACCATGTTTATGGACAATTTTTATCTTAATTTTGCGAATACATCCATAAAGTTAACCTGTAATAATGTTAAGAAACAGGCTAAACAATAAAATGTGATAGTAGAGTTGAGTTTAAGTTTCCTTGCCAAAAGAAAAGAAAAAGTACAAATAAAATAAAAACGGCAAATATTTAAACTATACAATACTTAAGGAAAAGGGTTAAACTTAGGAACATTAAGATTACCTCCTTGGTTATCCACTGAAACTGCAATCCACCGAAATAAGAAAAGGAACCAGTCCCCACTTCGGGCCATTTAAAAGATAATTCGCGCAGCAGATTGGTTGATACAAACATCCAATCGGATGTGCAGAATATGTGGTCTCTCTTCGTCTAATTCTTTAAAAAGGCCATAGAAGCTGTTAGCATTTAACAGTGAGGGGGAATCAGGGGTTGATCTCCCCTGATTGGGTTGATTTGGTGATGGGCATTATGAAGTTGAAAGACCCGAAACTCCCTGATGAACCATGTCAAAACATCACTGACGACCCCCTCGGGCGCCTACTTAAAAGCGTATTTTTGAATTAAAAGAATTTAGTATAGAGTGTACAACAAACCTGTTTTGGGATATAAATTTTTGTTTGGGGTATCGTTTAGTTTGGTCTGTATTGCAGAATATCTCATCAAAACCAAAATGGTGGTGCCCATGAGAAATCACATTAAAACTCTTTATAATCATTTATTTCCAATAAATAGCAATTTTCTATTTTGCCACAAACTGGACAGCACAGCCAGGCAACAATGCTGATGTTGAAAGAATTTGGGGCTGAAGAATGGATCAGCTAAAAATTTTAATAAAAGGTAACAAAGATGAAAAAATATTCATCAGAACTAATAAAAAGTGTAATAGTACAATTTTATTGGTTCATAGTAATTGTTCTGATTAACTTTCCTATATGGTACCTAGACTTTATAATTTAAGCGCAGTATTAGATTGGCAGCAAGGTCTCATGTTACAGTTGAATTTGCAAGATGTAATCATGAATTTCTTCTATTGCATTTTTCATCTGCAGAGCTCTCTTCCAGCCTCTTGCTTTCCAGCCAACTTTGATCTTCCAAAATTTAAATGCAATGTCAATTGTTATCTACTGTTTTCTTGATTCCTCTTTGATGTTTCTCGCTCCAAAATAATGTTTGTTTTTTTTCTATTCTTTCACACTTAGTAACCTCTTGTGTCTTAGTGGCTTTACTGCCTTGCTTGGGGTGAAATGATTAAAAAGAAAAAATATTTGTATGAAAATTCTGAATAATGATAATGTTGATGTGCCTGAAATATATGTATAAAAATAACTTTAAGAAATATATCTTGTTTTTGAAATTTTAGATAATCTCAAATTCTACAAATTATTTTCTAATGCAGGAGATATTTTGGCGAAAAAATTGGAATCTATTTTTTTTGGTTGGCTTACTACACAAATATGTTAATTCCTGCTGCCATAGTGGGTGTGGCTGCATTTTTCTATGGTATTTTCACAATGATGTCTGATGTTCCAAGGTAAGTGATACTATTTTCAGCAGTGTAACTCTGTTAATCCCATGTGAATTGGTTCCTATTTATGAAATTCACTATAAAACCACAAGTATGGGGCACTATGTAAGGACTGAACTCCCTATTCTGGTAATGATGGTATGCACATTGAAGCCACTACGCCAGAGGGATGTTCAGTTTGAATTTAGGAATTACCTGAAATTAAATGTCCCCAAAATAAAGGTTTATAGTTTAGAGATCCTTAACAGCAGCAAAAAAGGGTTTAACTTTATTAGTGTCACCACATTAGAATCCCTTTTCAGCACCATTACTTTACATTGACTCTGTTTCATAATAGCTTTTACTTTTTTATACACATTTCCTGCACTAAATATAGCAGCTATTATGGAGCAGTGATAGTATTGTAGGTTACTTGTACATTATGAAGGTCTACTGAACTGTTCATAAGCTCACCAAGTAGACACACCAGTTGGTAAACTAAAAGACATGCAAGTGGACCAGAATGCAACAGCTAGTTGACCAGCTGTTGTATTCTGGTAGATTTGCATGTCATTTAGTCTACCAACTGGTGTGTCTGCAAAGATTTATATCTTGCTCAGCCTATGAACCTCTCAGCCACCTCTCAAGCTGACCACTCAAATTCCAACCATGAAGGCTCAGAATAAACGCCATTACTAGTATTCAAAACAACACAAAAATAAAATACATTTTTAACAGTCAAAACATAAAGAGAAATTAACAACACCTAAAGCAAACCCTCTTGAAAATGGCTAAAGTGGCCAAAATTTTTTGACTCCCTTACTTCCACCAAATGGAAAAGTGTAAAAATGCTGGAAAAATTAAATAAAAAAAATCTGGGAATCTTTTTCAATAAATTATCAGTACTTTTTTTAATGTCTTATTTAAGTGCATTTTTAATGACTACATTATTTTTCAATGCCAGTGTAAAGAAAAACTACTGTAAGATAAATACAAAAGCTTAAGAAAAAAAACTTATTCCCCTTAAAATGTTTTAAAGAGATTTAATTAAATTTTTCTTTATTTGCAGTAATGAGATATGTAGTTCTAACAAATCTGGCAACCTCATTATGTGCCCTTTGTGTGATGAATTTTGTAACTATTGGCACCTTAAATCAAGTTGTTCTTATTCACGGGCCTCCTACCTGTTTGATAATGCTGCGACAGTGTTTTTCGCTGGATTTATGTCTCTGTGGTGTAAGTATCTTTCTTAGTCTGTCTTTTCTTCTGAACAGGGCTAAAGGCTGATTTCAGCTAAAGATTGTCAAGTAGTTATGATTATTCATTGGATTTTGTTGATCCATTTTTATGTCTGGCTATCAGAAAGAATATCTCTTGGCGTTAGGAAAGTCAATTAGCTTGATTCTAAGATCTGTTGCATTCAGTTATAAGGCAAATCTTCTTCCTTTGGAATATTTGGGGAATATGGAAAATTACCATCTTTCACTAAGAACAGCCATACTGAGTTTAAATTTGGAAGACATTCAATAGTAGTAGATTGGTTCAATTCTCATCCAGTTCATACTCCTCTCCAGTTTGTGAACAGGAGTAATGGTTTATCCCATGTTTCCTGTTTAGGATGGGACTTCTGGCTGCTTCTGAAGTATTTTCATTCTCCTTCATTTCCAGTAGCCTCTTGTGTCTTAATGGCATTATTGCTTTGCTTGGGGTGAATTGATTAAAAAACAGGAAAAAGAAAATGTAAATATATATCATGAGATTTTAAATCTTTTTGGTGAAAACAAAAAGGCTGCATTTGTATGTGCAATGTACTCCTCTCTGGGGTTTTGCAAAATGCTTCACCTTCAGAGTGGTGAACAGTCCTGTAGAAGCAAGCGAGCCAGAGTTGCTTGCATCTGGTGCATAGGAAAATAAAGGTCTTTCCTCAATGTGCGGCACATGGCATCAGCAAGTTTGCTTCTTGGAAATGGCATTACTCTCCCATCTAGTGATTCCAGCAGTATGTGCGGTAATGAGGGATTTGTACAGTTTGGCATGCTTTGACCAATAGCAAGTCGCGTGCTGATTGGTCGAACTGGAGGAGGCTATTTACCTGGGTAACTGAGAATAAAAGCGAAGAACACTGATTGGTTGGTTGGCCTGATAAAAGAGGGCTAAAGCGGTGAAAAGGAAAGATGGATTTTACATGTTGAAGTGTTCGGAAAACAAGAATGGCGGATTGAACCAGCAGTATTTTGAATTGTACAAGCGACATCTTAGTAATAGACTCATTTAAGCGACAGTATTGTTGATGTCATCTGAGACATTTAACGAGAGTTGATTATATTTGACATGGTATGAAACTCTCTTGACTGTTGGATTGTGAGCTGATGATCCTGTGTCCCTACCCACTACAAATCTTGATGTGCACTATTTTTTATGTATTATTTAATCATTATCTCCTACTTTACATGCATACTTTACCTTGGGTCCCAACAAAGGTACAATGTCAATGTCTTTGTCAAATTGCATATTTGTGGATCTCATTGGAAATTCAACCTGAGAGGAAAGCATCATTCATGGGTATTATACTATATGCATCCAACATAACAAATAGACCAGCTGCAACTTCTGCTGAGTGAAGAAGCACCAAAATGATGCACCAAGTCTGTTTATCTCTGATTATACTTCATAAACAGACATCTTGAAATGTTCTATGATTGCCATTAGATGTTGCAATCATCACTTTCTTTTCTCTCTTGGTGTTGTATCACAGACACTTTTGCAATTAAAATCTGCAGTTGGGTTATTGGCCTAGTCTCTGTTAATATTACAATTAAATATATCCATTAACGATCCTTTGTGAAACATCTACAACAACATTCCTGTCCACATTCACAATATAAAAAATTACTAATCGATAACACAACTATCCTACATCAAGAAAACAACAAATTCAGACTACAGATCTTAGAAGCAATTTATATTAAAAAATTAAAGCCAGCACTGAACAGAATCAACTATGAATACTACAGTAATGTTCTGAAATGCCTGTAAAGGAACAGTTTTTTCACACTTTAATGCTCGCATGACCATGACATAACATGGAAAAAAATTTCATAATGGGTAATTTTTTTTTCACGCTCTAATCAACGCTCTGCACATTGTCAACCATTTTGCATTTAAAAGTGTAATGAAAAAATTACGGTAATGGGTAACGACACACAGTTTTGTATAAATACTTATATTAATGAACAACATATAGTTTTGTATTACTTACACCCCTGAAGATGATCTTAGAAGAAGATCAAAAGTACTTGGGGAATGAAAATAAAACATTTAAACAGCTACAGCACATTTCTTTCATCCTTCAACATCAATAAATGGAAGATTATTCGTGAGTATGAACAGATTTTATTAAAAATTAGCAGACATAATGTCTGTAATTTATTCAATCAGATGTGTCTAAAAGAGAATTTGCTGTCTAAATACACAAATATAAATATATAAGTATCCTAAAATGTTTAATCACTTTCTGCAATTGCTTATATAAAGAAATGCATGTTTATTTTTTCATTGATTTGTTTGTTTTGTTTTAAGAATTTTTTTATAGAGGGAGGTGAATATTGCATTAACAATTTTTGAAGAATAACAATTATTTTTCCAGATACATGTCCTACTATTTAACCCATAACTGGGGGAAGATATAGATTCATACCCCTTCCCAAGAGTATTTGTGTGTAAGTGAATGTAATGAACCTAAGTAGAATTTGGATTTGGCACTGATTTCTCATTCAAAGCTGATATCGATTAAACCATCCACTGGTTTGTTAGATTGATAAATTTGCATGTATTCATAGTAAAATCTTCGCTTGAATCTTGATTGCATAAAATTGAATAAACAGTAGCCTGATAATGTCTCCTCCAAAATGGAAATTGGTTCACATGGCACTAAAGGTTAATAGCTTGGAAAAGGGGATTAATAAGCTAAATTCAAACTTTGGCTGATAAATGTTTGTGTTCATTTAACACCAATGCCCTTGAAGAATAAACCTGAATCTATCTCTTCTCATTATCCAAACTATAAGGAAATAGAGTAGACAGATTCTATTGGCCACCAGTCTAGCAGACAAACAACTCTGGTTTCAGATCAAGCAGTAGCATCACTTTACAGGCAACCAGCATGTTCTGGAGGGCAAAATGTTAATGCCTTTCCTTTAGATCCAGGTAGAAAAGGGCAAGAGAAGGAAGTTGATAATGTATACAACTCTTCATTATTAGCCAAGCAAAAATTCAAATGAAGCCATGGTTATCTTCAGCTATGAAGGTCAAACAGTTGAAACCCAATTTTTTGAGGTGGTCTTTTTTGTGTAAATATGAATTGGAAAGGTTTTACAATAGACAATATGACCAAGATCTAAGCTCTGACACAATGAACCATAAAAGATACCAATGCATCTTTTTACTATAGGTGTTTGTAAAAGTTTGTATTTAAAAAAAAAAAAAAAAAAAAAAATTTGTCACTGAATCCACAGTTGAAAATCTTTGGGTTTTTTTTTTCTCCAGAAACCTTTACCCATGTCTAATAATATAGCACAATGATGCAAAATTATCAGTTATTATGCATTGTATTAGAGCATAAATCTCCATTCTATTTTTTTTCTCTCTCTAATTCATGGCTTGTGTGTTAACACAACAGTTATGTCAATAACTTTGCTGTATTTGACACCATATTTGATTTAAGCTTCACATTGTATTTAATATATATCAATGCAAATACATGGTTTGTTGTATCAAAGAATTGTTATACAATCAATAAAACCTAATCACTTCTTGATTATTTTATACTTTCATTTTGTGTGCTTTTGAAAAATGGTGTCTGGATGATCAGGAAAACTAATTTCCAGATTAAACATTTTCAAACATTTTTGATATTTACATAATGACAATTAGCAAAGTAAATTGGTTCATGATACTAAGAAAGAAAATTAAAATATCACAAATTTTTAAAATTTTATATGATGTGAATTAGTTTATAACTGCATTTGTTTGAAAACCTTTTGAGAGGATAAATATAATACTTCATTCATAAAGGAAAAAATAAAATATAAATTTTTTTTTTCAAGCAATAACTAATATATAATAATGAACAGTGTATGTTTGTAACTTCTTTCATGTTGAAGAGAAAGAATGATGAGCTGTTGAAAAACTCTCAAGCCAACCAAGAAAGGATTTAAAGAAAAGAATTTGATGTTTGAACATATGATCACATTTGTAGAACTTTTCAACATCATGTTTATATAGTTAATCTGGTCTTGATTTGAACATCTGACCTGGAGGTAAGCAGGCAAGTGACACATCAAGTGTACCAATGTTCTGCTGCTTGAACAGCATGGCACAATTACCTTCTAAATACTAAGACAGAATTCAAAAATACTACACTGATCTGAGACAGAACATAGAGATACTCTGATCTTAAGTATAAGTGCTGGTTCTCACATAATATAGTCATTTTTATGCTTATTAGGTTATATATGTTTTTTTTACATTAACACAGCAAAAATGACACATCATAGCTGTTGTAGAGTAGTTTCACAGTGGAGACTTGTATTTCACTAAGTCGGTCCTAAAATAGGTTCGACATACAAAACGTTAGGAACTTGATATAATAGGTAATGACGCAGCAATCTAGTTGTGGTGGCTGATACTTTAATATCCAAAGAATGGTCGTCCGACATCGACTGACTGACCAACTCACTGAGCCCCTTAGTGACTGCTACTACTCCTACTTATTATAGGTGGGAGAGTCTATTAACTATAGAATAGGTGTGTTCCACTATAACAATAGCACAATTTTATAAAAAAATTTAACTTGAAGAATAAGGTAAATTCCTGTCCAATCAAAATGCTGGTTTGTGAGTAATTTATATTTAAGTATCAATTGACAAGAAAATCTGTCCAAGGAAGATAACTTCAGGTTTATTAACTATGAGTTACAGTTGTTCCCCTGAGTTTTCTAAGAGAATAATGGAAATAAGCAGAGAAGAATCCTTGGCTTGTCTGCATTTCCTTTCCATCAGCCATGTGAGCATGATAATGATACATTAAAGATGAAATGGAGTGATAATTAGCTTTTGTATAATCATTATAATATAAATTCTGTAACTGATATTAATTGATATATGTAATTGAAGATGGTATTTAAGGATGTTTCAAGTAAATCTTTTCTTTTTTTTCTCTCTTGCAGCGGTCTTCTTCATTGAGTTCTGGAAAAGGCATCAAAAAGAAATTGAATATGACTGGGATGTTTCAAATTTTGAAGATGAAGAGGTATTTTAAGATTTTCTTTTAATTTAAAAAAAATGCTAACGTATGAAGTTTAATACAAAAAGTTTGCTTAATATTAAACACAATTCCATAAATAGTTCAACTAACTGATAACAGTACAAATTAGAATCTCTGAAGAATTCAAGTTTTACTTGAGCCAATTTTTCCCCTTAGATAATTCCTTTTGCCAATGTATGAATTTATGTCTCACAGTAGATCAGTTCAGAGATTACTCTCTACAACCATGTAACCCAATACAAACTGTTGCATGTTAATTTTAAAAGAAATAAGTGCAGCCAAGTAACTGATTTCTCTGAGAAATATGTCAAATCATGATCCATTTTGCTCCAACAATTTGCTTGGTCCAGAGATCAGAAAACTATTTGAATTTTTTTTTTTTTTTTTTTTAGAATATAGATTCACTTTACTGAAAAATGAATCCAGAAGGTAAAGATGTTGAGATCCGAACTGCCAAGCCTTTTGTTTTTTTATCTGAGTGTTGGGATTCGAAACATTTAACACCACCACCATATCTTTTAAATGAAACATAAAAAGGTTATTCTCTGAAGGAAAAGTAGAAGCAGAACATCAGTTAAAATAACATTTAAATATTCTTTTCAGAAATATACAATAACAATAAAATATTACATTTTCCTTGTAGTGAAGTTTGTTATATCAAGTAATTAAATGTTTTTAGTGCTGTGTAAGATGTGTGGACAGACTTACTTAATAACAGTCAGCCTAATGTTCTCATGAGTGCATAGACAAAGGCTTAGTTGGCATTGCTGGCTCATCTCTTCCATTTTGTGTGTGTGTGTGTGTATGGGGGTGTGCAGGTGCACACGTGTAGATCAAACAGGCCTCCAAAATTGTTTTGAACCCTGAGGAGCAGTATGCTTTTATTTTTATATCTATAAAGGGATTCTTTTGAATACATTTTCATTAGTTAGAAAATTTCACACTGGCTCATGAAAATTCTTTTCTCAAATTTGCAGGAGTGGTGAAAGGAGTTAGTATTTTTATTTTCTAAATGGTCTAAAAATAACAAATGGTAGGTCTACATCTATGTCCAACAAGTATTTTGGTAGTATTTGTCCTAGTAACTATTGTTTATCAAACAAACCTTTTGATGGGATTTTATTGGTTGAAAAGTATATATATATATATATATATATATATATATATATATATATAGAGAGAGAGAGAGAGAGAGAATTTAAGTCCTATAAAGATTTTCTATGGCTTTTATTGCCATTTTCTAATGGTAATATTAGCCATTTCTTTATAAGGAAACATTTAGATTTCATTGACCAAGCAGCCAGTGTTATTCTTTTTATTAAAACAATTTTACAGGAGAACTGGTTTCTCAAGTCCAGTAGCTGTTATCACTCTTTCTGGTATTGATGGGGTGAATTCCTCCCAAACCTTTTATTTGAAGTAGTGTGAAATGTCAGCATCTTGATAATGCCATTTTCTCCACAAGTTTCATGTGCTATACACTTTACCTGTTGATACTGTTGAAAATCCTCAAGTGATTTAGTACACAATTCATTGTTTGTGATTTTGTAGCACCAGCCCACAAGTTTGGTCATCACTCGCTAAAAGACAATTTTACCATTTTTACCATACATGAGTTACTCTTGTTTTATATATATATATATATATATATATATATAATCATTTGTGTTACAGTTGAATTCTTGTTTGCATGGTCATATATTGTTCAAGTCCTTTGAAATATTGATTAGTGATCCAGTTATGCCAACTACTCACAGTAGTGTGTTGTGTGTGTGTATGTATATATATATATATATATATATATATATATATATATATATATAATTATTTATTTAAAATATGATTCCAACTCACAACATAAGAGGTCTCATGTTTCAAAACAAGAGCCGAAAACTTCAATATAATTATTTGAATTAAATTGAGTTAAAGTAAGCTCTGTTCCATCTTCAAGCAAAATTTTTTTTGGAATAACGTACATCTGAAATTTACGTGTTTTAATAATTGAAATTAAAATTTCCATGGTAACAGCTAGGGCGAATTGTTTAAATTGGGTAGGCGTGTGTTGGGTGTTAATAATAAGTATCAGTATAGTTACTTTCATGGATGTCAAGTCAGGGAAAGGTGGGGGTGTCTAAATTTGAAACGGAAGATGTATTAACCCTAGTCTGGCATGTGTGTCTATGGAGATTTATTTATTTTTTTATTTTATTTTTTTATGAAAGGGGTTTGTGCATATAAAAAACTATTTATTTGGGCTATGGATTATGAAAGTTATTATATTGTATGCTTGTTCTTAGCTAATTATTCAGACCATGAATCTGAGGATTGGGCTATGGATTAATCAAGTTATAATATTGTGTGCTTGTTTTTAGCTAATAATTCAAACCATAAATCTGATGATGTCGACAGAAAACCGTTAACTCATGTCTATTGTTTAATAGATTATTATTATTTAGAAGCTTAATAATGTGCAATTTCTCATGTAGGCACAAAGGGCAGGGGTCATCCCAAGTTTTACATGTTCTAGCACTGTTTATAATTTTCCATTTTACTTTAGGTGTCCTATTTGTTTCCTTCAGTTACCAAAAATATTTAAATAGGGAAGTCTGATTTCTTTTATTTATATTATTGAAAGAGCACTTATGCTGCCTCCATCTATCTTTAAAATTATTCTTCGTGGATATATATATATAGTTTTAAAGTATGCTATATTTATGCATTACAGTGCTCAATATCAGGGATAGAGCATATGTAAATATAAAAGTGGACATTGAAGTCAACACACCCAGCAGTGAGTCTGTTGATTGCATTTAAACATGAAACACTGTTGCCACTGGGTATTAACTTCGACATTTATACACACACACACACACACACACACACACACATATATATATATATATATATATATATATATATATATATATATATATATATATATATATATGGTGTGGGTAGCATCTGACCAATATGCTAATCTATCTGCAGCATGAATTTATTTATTTCAGGTCCAAATGTTTTGACTGCACAGTGAAAAAAATAAAAAAATCCTTATAAGATATTTGTTGTTGAAGTCATATTTGGTTGGTTGTTGCTTGATTCATTTTTTATGACTTATCAACCCTTTGTAGGTTATTTAAATCCAGAAAATGTTTGGAGATAAAAATGATTTTAGTGATGCAAGTCTTCCTAATTAAACAAATATATGTGGAGAGAAGAGGTGGAGTCATACGTTTCCCAAGGGTCTTTTGCATATAAGGGAGTATAACCCAAAAGGAATTAGAACTCGCATCTCTGATTAACAATTCCATGCTGCTATCCATTACACCACCTGCACATACAAACTTAAAGCACCTGGTACTCGCAAGTAGTCACCTATCTAGGTACTGACCAGACTTGACATTGCATAACTTTAGTGATCATATGGAAACCAGTGTTTCAACATGATGTAGCCATATGTCTCACCATATTTTGCACCAAGTCACACCTGCATGACTTGCAGAGAGCAACTGAACTATTAGAAGTGTGCTATAAGGCATCTTGTAATATAATCACATAGAGGGCACCTCGAGGTGGTGTAATGGTTAACAAGCTTGTCTCGCTAGAACAATTATGAATGAGTAGTGAGTTCAATCCTCACTGGGTGCCCCTTACTTTTGGCTTTGTGCCACATCCAAGCTACGCTTGGAAAATCATTTGGGCACCTCGAGGCAATGTAATGGTTAGCAAGCTTGGCTCGCTAGAACAATTACGACTGAGTAGTGAGTTCGATCCTCACTGGGTGCCCCCTAATTTTGGCCTTGTGTCATATCTAAGCTACGCTTGGAAAATCACTATTGGGCTCCTCGGCGTGGTGTAATGGTTAGCAAGCTGGTCTTGCTAAAACTGTTACAACTGAATAGTGAGTTCGATCCTCACTGGGTGCCTTGTACTTTCAGCCATGTGCCACATCTAAGCCTCGCTTAGAAAATCAATATAATCACATAGATAAAACACTTGTCTGAATTTCTGAAGTGGGGAGTTGTTACTATAATACATTGATTTGAACCATTTTTCTTATAGTTTTTATTTTTGCCTTACTATATTTTGCTTACTCTACTCTTTAACTTTTCTCCAGTGTCTATCAGATTTGGTAACCTTTTGACAGTATTGAACACTTCTTTCATCAACATCTAATTCCTAAACTAACATCTCTGCCGCCCCTCCGCCCCACCATCACCACCAATGAACCTATAATTTGTGAAAGAACCTTGTAGCTATTGGCTATCAGCTTATTTGAATTATGATTGCTTAAGTTGAGGATTGAGCAACTTTCATGTTTTGATTCAAGTCTCAACAAGTTTTTGGTCTTGTGAACTGTTATGTAATATCAGTCCTCCTATATGGCAGTGAATGCTGGACAATCTCCTCACAGATAAAGAAGAGACTTCAAGCAATAGAAATTTGGTTCTACAGAAGTATGCTGAGAATACCATGAACCGAACATGTGAACGATGACAAAGTTTTAGAGAAAATGGAAACTAAAAGGACACTTATACATATCAGGAAGAGGTAATTGAAATTTCTAGAGTACATCATGAAGAAAGAGGACTTGTAAAATTTGATACTGAGTGGTCATATTGAATGCAAGAGAGTCAGCAGAAAACTTATCTAGCAAGCTTGTGGAGAGCCATGATTGCCAATCAACTGAAAGGACACGGCACATAGAAGAGGAGTGCTAAATGGTTCTCAATTTGAGCAAGAATTTGGACAGATTTTGGGAAGATAGATTTTGTTTGTAAAATTTGAATGATTGTTATGGCAGGTGCTAATTTTAGCCAGATTCTGTCAATTACTCATTTAATTCCTGTATATTGCTTTGAGTTTATTTTTGACTGATTATACCATTAACTTCAGTTGACAGTTGCAGAGAGAAGGGGAAAATAGTTAATGAAATTATTGAACCTGAATTTGTGTGTGTAAAATTTAATTTCACTCTCAGGCTA